TGTGGCTGCCTGTGCCGCCATGGCTGCAACAGCGGGATCCAAAGCCTCGGCTTTGCCAAAACAAGGGGGAGGGGTTATAGGGTTTAGGGTTTAGGGCTTAGGGTTTGGGGCTTAGGGTTTAGGGTTTTTTTAGGGTTTAGGGTTTAGGGGGGGTTCCTTCTTGCCTTTTGAGTTTTTCTTTTTAAAAGCTTTTTGGTGTTGAAGATGACTGCCTTTTTGCTTTTTTCTTTTAAAGGCTTTTTGGTGTTAAAGATGTTTGCCTTCTTGTTATTTGTTTTTTAACATGCTTTTTGTGTTAAAGAAGGTTTCTCTTAACACGCTACTGAAAAAACATCTGACATGCTAGTACCACGCGATTGTGGAGTGTGAGAGGGCTCTAGAAGGCTTCTCCTCCAGGGTTCCATTTCGGGTTTCGGGTTTCGGGTTTCTGCTGTTTTGCACGGCCTTGTTGGGTTTCGGGGCTGCGTACCACCTGCAGAACTTCCCCCACCCCCAGACCCTGTAACTAACAAGGCGCCTCACCTTAAACCCTAAACCCTAAACCCTAAACCCTCAAAGCTGTCCTTTGGGTCCCTCCACTCAAAACAGCCAGGCCTTCTGGAGACTTCTGAGTCTGTTGAGCAAGCTAGTGGCGGCTATGATGTACCTTAACCTACCAGAACCTACTCGTTTGTAGGGTCCCTATAAATCCCATATTAGAGTTTATAATAAGAACCTACAAAAAAGTGGGTTATGGTAGGTTAAGGTACTTTGAGTAGAAGCCTTCGTAGAAGGCATGGGGTCTCCTACTCTCAACCTCCAGCAGCCTCCGAAGTATAGAATTGAAGGGGCAAGAGGTGATCACACACACACAGAGGGTTTTGGGGGCTCCCTAATATAGTACCCCAAATAGTAGGATTCTTATTATAAGGACCCCAAATAAGGTACCCCCTAATTTTCGGAAACCCCTGATATAAGGGCTTAGGGCTCCCAGCCTCTCTCTGCAGCAAGGCACCCCGGGACATGCAAACCGAAACCCTGAACCCTGAAACTAACCAAGTGTAAACATACCACCCTAAACCCTAAACCCTAAACCCTAAGCCCTAAACCCTAAACCCTTATAATTGAGGTAACTCCATTTAGGGTACTTATACCTCTACTTATAACCTACTTACTACGGCTGATGGACAAAATCCTGCATGACTTTATATACCTAAACTATGGGATTTATGGTACCATACTATATTGGGGTCATGCAGAATTTTGTCCATCAACAGTACCAAGACTTCGGGCAATACTGTACAACTTAAGCACGCTACGTGAGTATGACGGAGGGATTTCGAGGGTACACCTGGACGCAAAAAGCAAAAGAAGACAGCTACTCTTGCTGGTTTTTCTTTTCCACATAACCTTGATAAACTTCATAAAAGCCCTAAACCTTGATTCATGCACCATAACGACCCCACACCGAAAGCCCTCAAACCGTTGTAAACAAAGGGTCGTTCTCAAACAAACTCACCCGTAAGCTGCTATAAAACCTCGTATATAATTCCCCAATCCCCCTCCCACATGAACCGCAATAAATTTCAAAATCCTAAACCCTAAACCCCTAAACCCCTAAACCCTAAACCCTAAACCCTAAACCCCTAAACCCCTAAACCCCTAAACCCCTAAACCCTAAACCCTAAACCCTCTGACTGCGGAGCCTCGCCGCGGTTCGCACGCCGGATCGAGCTCTCCGCCACCACCGGGCCAGAAAGAGAGCACCTCCTGGGCCAATACAGAAGTTTACTGGGTTTAGGGTTTAGGGTTGAGGGTTTAGGGTTTAGGGAACAGAAGTTTACTGGGTTGTAGTTTTGGGGCCCTTGAAAGTATTTATTAATAGGCACCTCTATAGGAACCATACCAAAGTGCCGCCTAGTTTAGGGTTTAGATGAATGTAGAGTGTAGAGAGACCGACACCTGTCTTCACGACAAACCAGCCTCCTAAATCAGATCCTGAAGTCTAAGGTAGAACCCATGGGCCCCTAGCATGGGGAATTTAACATTGGGACCCTAATATACCTACGATATACCCTATATATACCCTGAAGGGACCCTAGAATCCCCTAAGGGCCCATGGTAGGAGCCCATGGGTTCAACCTTAGATTAAGTCTGCAAAACGTGATGCAGCTTAGCAAAATCTTTACAACAAGTGGTGCCGCTATTGTTGGCATTGGTTCACGTTCTCGTTCTGATAGTCTCGCTATCATGTGGAAATCGCAGAGCGCCCAAATCCTGCCTCCCTGACAAGAAGAAAGGGTCCTTTTTATGGGCTCCGCGCAATATATGAAGAAACCCAAGCCATGAAAACTAAAAGCAACTCCTAAGAATCAAAGCCCTAAACCCGAAATCTGAACCCTAAACCCTAAGCCCTGACACCCTAATAGATCAGGAGATGCCCTGCCTCGGCTTGGACGGCTTTCTCCATCTTCACTTGCCTGCGGACCGCATCCAAAGAGCCCAGTACTTCCTAGTTAATGGAAAACCCGCAAATCATAGAGGCTTCGAGGGCTCTCATCGCAGCTCAAGTTGATGTGCATAAAAAGGGTCTGAAGGATGAGAACGCGACATTGGGCGTAGGCATACTGCAGTGAGCCCACTAAAAGTTGGACTGGAAAGAGGATGAGTAGCGCTGGCATTCCCTATCGTTTGCCTCTTCGGTATGAGGACGAGAAGCTTCCGACTGCACGGAAGCTACCGTCCAAAGACAGCAGGGGTAGCTTGACAAAGCTTTCCGACTGAGCGACAGATGGCTGTTTGCATGGAAGTTACTGTGCAACTGGGCAAACAAATCTACTCAACTGATAATCTTAGCCAGTTGTGCCATGGGTTTGGAGAGGTTTGGGGTTTAAGGTTGGGATGCTACAGAGATTGCACCATCCACAAAAAGTAAAGGCTACTGGCTCGACGGCTGAGACGGCCAGATCCAAACCCCTTATCAGAATAATATAGGGGCCTTAATAATTAGAATAGTGTTTTTGATGCCACTATGCTAGAATTACAATAAGGAGCCCCCAAAATGTATTGGTACTTATTTAGGCCCGTTCTAATATAGGGATGATGAAGGGATCCAGTCCGACCCCTTTTTTCTTGGGTCGCCAGGAATCAAAGCCCAAAGTCTTGTGCTTCTTAGGTGAATTAAAGCCTCGATTTAATGGGGGTTCCCTGTAAGGGTCTTTACCATAAAGCGAGTCGGTGAGCGGTCGGCGGGATACGGCTAAGGGGTGAAGGGCTTCGGGGGGACAACGCTCGGACCCCAAGAAACCATCTCACAAAAAGAACCCACACGCAAACTTGAACCTAAACCCTAAACCCTAAACCCCTAAACCCTAAACCCAAACCCCTAAACCCTAAACCCTAAACCCCAAAACCCTGAACCCTAATCCCTAAACCCTGAGCCCTAAAACCCAAACCCTAAAACCTAAACTCAGCATTATGGTTTCAGGCAGTAGAAGGGGGACCCCTTAAAGGGGAATAGGGGTCTAGGGCCTAGGGTTTGTAGGGTTTAGGCCCTTCAAAGGGGTTTAGGGGTTTAGGGTTCCTAGGCAGCAGAATCAGAAGGGAGACCCCTTAAAGGGGACCCTTCTTAAGCCTACTTATGGCTCTCTTAAAAAGGGACCTTACCAAGAGACCCTAGATCTCCCAGGGTCCCCGGTAATCCGAGCTCCTAGTGACATGGCTCTAGAAGCACGTCATTGATAAGCTCTCCAGACGGCTCGGAAGGTTTAGGGTTCAGGGTTCAGGGTTTAGGGGTTAGGGTTTTGGTTTTAGGGTTTAGGGTTTAGGGTTCAGGGTTTAGGGGTTGGGGTTTAGGGGTTGGGGTTCAGGGTTTGTAGAGTTTCAGCAATCTTAATCTTAAGAAGGGGCTAAGAGCTGTGGTTTTTGCAGGGCATGAAAGTCTCACCTAAACCCTAAACCCTAAATCCTAAGCCCCTAAGCCCTAAATACCAAACCCTAAACCCTTATAAGCCCTAAACCCTAAACCCTCAGCTTGCTACAGCATTCTTCGGGCTTTAGGTTTTGGGGCTTCAGGATTTCGCTGGGTGGGGGTTTCGGCTTGGGGTTTAGGGTTTAGGGTTCACATAGGGGCCTTAATAATTGCCTAAACTGTTGTGGGGTTCTTCATCATAACACTATGGTACAACATCCCCCAGAACCCTATTCTAAGCCCCTACTTTAAGGGTTTAGGGTATATTATGACAAAAGCGTATACATTCTTCAACAGCGGTGAGTCGTTTTGAGTGTTGAACAAATAACTACACACGAAACCGCCAACCGGACAACGTCAACACTGAAACGACGGCCATGACCCTCGGTGCAGCACCCTCGGTGCATTACCCGGAGGGTCCCTTAATTCTCCTATATAGGGAATATACATACCCCCTAAACCCTGAAACCCCCAAACCCTGACACCCTTAAGCGCAAGCCCTCCATGACACTAAACCGTAGATAGACCCCGAACCAAAACCCTTCAACCCTAAACCCTAAATCCAAAAACATGACCTACTTTCTACTGTATACCTAGGGTCTAGGTAGCAATTAGGAGCCTCGGTGCATCAAGGAACACCGCCGAACTGGAGATCGAGTCGCCCCCCTTCTTTCAGGCACCAAAGAGACTGCACGGGTTTAGGCCCCAACATGTCCAATAAATAAACGCCTACCTAGACCTCATTCTACCCTCTATTAGACCCTAAATAACTACCTACTATTAGGGACCACATACCCCAATTTGATGGTACATGGAGCGTCCTGGTACATAATTACCAAGATTCTTCCTTTGGGTCCCTGTTTTAAAGTATACTACAGAGGAGCCTAAAACACTCTCCTAACTATTAAGGCCCCTACATTATTGTTTCGTTTTCGTTGAGGATCTATAAAAATCGTTATAAACTATAAAGTACAAATCTGTGAGATATGTATGTATGTATATATATATATATATATATAGTGGTTCGAGCCACTTCGCACTCTGGGTTGCCAGGCTATGGTTGGTTTTAGGGTGTAGTGTTTTCAAAGTTTAGGGACGCTCCGTCAGTCGCGAGATGTCTTGTCCAGCACGTTTCTGAAGTCTTCAGTTCGGGACTGCTGCTCCAACATCTTGTTGCATGGTGCTATGTGGTGTTATGCTGCATCCTGCTCCGATAACAGTTGAGGGTCGTGGTATAGGGTTTAGGGTTCAGTTATAATTAGAGGTTTAGGGTGTAGAGGTTTAGGGTTCAAACGCCTTGCAGTGCGTAAGTCGATGCGCACGACGCTGCCTCTGCAGAGCCATCTAGAGCATAAACCCCGAAACCTTAGCCCTAAACCCTAAACCTTAAACCTAAGCCCTAACCCTAAACCCCAAACCCTAACCCTAACCCTAAATCCTAAACCCTAACCCTAAACCGTAAACCCTCAAACCCAACCTAAACCCCTCAACCCTGCAAAAGGGGCGGAGCGGAGGCTAAACAAAAATTGCGGAAGCGTGAAGCTCCTGCAGCCCTTGCAAACCCGAGAAAGGGTTTGGGGTTGAGGGTTTAGGGTTGAAGGTTTGGGGGTTTAAGGTTTAGGGTTTAGGGATGAGGG